TCCAGCAGCAGTGACGAGGGGGCGGTCTCTGTTCAGGGAGATGATGACGGGGAGCGTGCTAGTGCTGCTTCTGGACTGCATTTGGAGGAAAGTGATGACTTGGATGACTGGGAGCCCGTTCCTGCTTGGGGATCGCCTGAGTATTAGCAAATTCCCATGTAATTATGTACTCACATGCTAATTCTGGCGTGATGTTCTTCGCGCTTGCAATTTATTTGCTGCTTTGTGCCCACTTGATGGCATGAAGGTGCGCAGGTTCGTGTGGAAGGATTCCAGTCAAGTTATCTTGTGTACGTCCTCGTGCATTTGCGTGCCCAACAAACAGAAGCTTCGCATTTCTATCCTGTGCGCATTGCGTTGGCGCCGTTTGGTGCTAATCTTGAAACACAATTCGCTGCAGCTGCAATGGTGCCATGTGAGATGATTGAAAAAAATTCAGCTCACCTGCGTGCAAACAATGCGCACTAGCTTGGAGCTGGGTCCTCCTGCCATGAATGATATGCTTTGTGCGGGGTCTTGGCTAAGGTCTTTCAAGGCTGGCCTGTGATTATAGGCTGTTTTTACTCCAGGCCATGGCCAGGAGACGCTTGGAAAAGGACCGTGAATGTGATGCTCCCAAGCGTCGCTTTTCGCAGCAGGATGCTCTGAAACAGGAACGTCCGTCCAAGAAGAACAAATCTGAACGTAGTGATAAGAGAAAGCGTGTGAAAGAGGAGAGGCCCCCAATGTCTTCCTCCAGTGATGCTTCTGAAAATGATGATGAGTCCAGCGCTGTTCCAGACAATGTGGCCACGGCAGTGACAACAGATCAGCATCAAGCCATTGAAGCTGTTGGCCTCGCTTTTGGGTTGATGCTTGTATAGAATTTTTTTTGGGTGGCGTCACTGAACACTTCCCTAAACTGTGCTTGCTTGTCATGTCCATCCTAGGAAACCGAAGTCCCTCCAGATGAAGAAGACGCAGCTGCATCTCAAGGATCTGACGGCAAGCCAGTTGGGCACGGTTCTTGCGGGATTTACTCCAGAACTCACGCCTTTGAAGCTACTAAAATTGGGTGGTGAGGTCTTGCGTGTGACTTTGCCTTTGATAAGCAACTTAATTATTGTGGAGGCTTTGAGTATGAGGTTCTGCCACTTTCCGTCTCCTAGCTATTCTGCTGCCTGCTCATGTAAGGTGAGGAAAAGCATGACGCATCAATGGAAGCAACAGAGTGCAGGGCGAAGCATGGACTCTGATCTTGATAAGAAGATGACTTTGGTCAAGCGCGAGGGTTCAGCTGAGCGTCTCTGGAAAACACGTTTGCTCCAGATATTCGCCACGTTGCGCATGTGCCATGTTCTGTATGTGATGCTGTTGCGCCTAAGTCTTTGAAGTCACGGAGCTCATGGTTATCAGCCAGCATAATCATTTGGTCTCTGCGCAAGAGCCTCTTGGTTGACTTGGAATATGCAAGATTCGCAAATCCAAGCTGTCAGTATTCTGTATGCATCATGGAATCATGTTTGGGAGCTAGCTCAGGTTGCTGAAACGTGAATGGATGCAAATGGCTGATGCCACTAAGAAGGAGCGCGTGAAGACATTCACGTCCATGTCGGGCGTTTTGGGAGGCTGAAGTGGCCAAGGAGATGACCTCCTTGAATCAATGTGCCTCGCCAGGGCAGCGCAAGCGCGCAGCACAGGTGGATGAGTCTTCTGGGGAGACCTGGCAGGGGTCGTGGCCGTGGCAAGAGTGCGCGTGCTGCGTCCCGTATGCGTAACCGACCCTCCTCTAGAGAGTCCATGGGCGCAGATTTTTCTGATCAGGAAGGTTTGCTGAAGCAAGTAGACAAGGATTGGCTGGATCGCAAGGATGATGCTCTTTGATGAGCGCTTTGGGGCTTCTCGCAAACCGTCCCAGAAATCGGAGGAGGCGTCCTAGCAGAAGCCTGGGGAGGACCCTCCTATTTCTGATTGCATACTCTCAGGGTTTTCCGTGAGTCTCTTTGGCTTCGCTCCAGGGCTTTCTCTGGGATGGGGTCCCGTGGAATGGAGGGCTTCGGATTGGGTTTCACAAGTCTCAGGGGTTGAATTTCGTATATGGAGGTTGCGGATTCCAAATGTATGAGAATAATATCCCGAATACTGATAAAGTTAGGTGGGATCTGGAGCAGTTCTTTGAAATTGTGTGGTTGTCTGAGTAGCCCGTATTTCATTGATTTATGTAAAATACTGATTAATTAGTATCATCTTTTGTGTCTCAACGAAGCTATGAGAATTCTCCCTCCTTTCAAGCCCATAATCGTACTGCCTGAAGCAATGTCTTAAAGTTATATTCGTGGCATCTGGCT